ACCATCGCATACGGCAGACTATCTGGGCGCACTAGTGACTAAGTTTGGGATTTTCAACGATGTAACTGGGTCTGGTGGAAGCCTATGGAGAGGACGTGGTCATGTCTGAGATCATCCGCAAATTGGAAGCTAAAGACAAGTCTACTTCCGATCAGTTTGTGCTGGTTGTCGGCTTGCTGTTCCAAGGCTGGGAATAAACGTTTGTGTTCCATGGGAATAAACGTTTGTGTTCCAAATAAAGAACCTTTGCGTAGTTCATTTTTAGGTGAGTGCCACGATGCAACCGGAAATTTCGACTATAAAAAGACAGAAGCAAAATTTATTGCAGCAATTTTGGTGCCCCACAATGATGGATGATGCAAAGAAGTATGTAGAAACTTGCCAGGTTTCTACGCAGGTACCGCATGGGCTTATTAAGCCCTTGCCCATCCCTGCTGGTCCAGGTCAAAAGTGTGCCATGGATTTGATGGATACCGTTGTGACCAGCAAGAGCGGTAAATGACACATCTGTGTCATTGTGGACAGGTTCACAAAGTATGCTAAACTAATCGCCTGACATAGCTAGGACTGACCACGTCATCAAGCTATTTATGGACAACTGGGGACGTGACTTCGGTCTCCCTAAGTCTATTGCGAGCAACAGGGATGCTTGATTCAATAGCGAACTGTGGCGAAGTACAGCCCAACAGATGGACACCCGCGTGCAGATGACATCAGGTAACCCCCCTTAGTCAAATGGCCAGGCCGAACAGATGAACTGGGTAGTGCACGCTTACTTCGGCATTATATTAAGTCAAGTCAGGATGACTGGGGTGATAAGTTACCTCTCATCGCCAGCCGGTACAATAACAGTGTGCACAACACTACCGGCATGACTCCCAACCAACTGCATCTTGGTTGGAAGCCCAGATCTGCACTTGACTTCCTGTTGCCTGAAAACCAGCCAACTGCAGCACCTGCTGTCAAGTACGAACATATGCTGCAGTAGGCTGTAGAGCACATCAAGAAAGCTCAAGATGTCATGGTTGCATTTGAGAACAGACACAGACGACTGTCTGCATTCCAGGTAGGTGAACGGGTCTGGGTAAAATCATCTGAATTGGGACAGGAGTTGGGAATCTCACGTAAACTGATGCCACAATACTTTGGACCTTGGGAAATTCTGGACATAGTAGGAGATCAACCCAATGGCCCATCATATATTCGCATCCCTGGTCACCTCAGCACACACCCTGTTTTCCACGCATCCAAGTTGGCACCTTTCGCTGAAACAGAACAGTTTCCCTCCAGGCGAATGCTGCCCCCAACCATGGACGGACAAGTGGACATTGACGACATTGTTGAACACACGCTGATGCCTGTGCCCAGGCCTGAGGCAGGGGACACCCTCCGAAACCGCAGATGCAGTACCTAGTGGGTTCAGACACCATACTAATCCTAAAGAA